AACCCTAAATACCCTAAACCCTCAACCCTAAACCCTGAACCCTAAACCCTAAACCCTAAACCCTGAACCCTAAACCCTACACCCCAAACCCTGAACCCTAAACCCTAAATACCCTCAACCCTAAACCCTGAACCCTGAGCCCTTAACCCTGAACCCTGAACCCTAAACCCTGAACCCTGAACCCTAATATAAACCCTAAACCCTGAACCCTGAACCCTAAACCCTGAACCCTAAACACCCTAAACCCTAAACTCTGAACCCTAAATACCCTAAACCCTGAACCCTGAACCCTAAACACCCTAAACCCTAAACATCCTAAACTTTAAATACCCTAAACCCTAAACCCGCAAGTCATGGGTTTAGGGTTTAGGGTATTTCGTGTGTAGGGTTTAGGGTATTTAGGGTATTTAGGGTATTTAGGGTTTAGGGTTTAGGGTTAAGGGTTTATGACCCAAGCCAATATTAAAGGAAACTACAGGTGGGGAGCTTAGGGTATATAGGGCTTTGGGTTTAGGGTTTAGGGTTAAGGGTCTTTGGGATTTAGGGTTTAGGGTTTTGGGTTCGGCGGGGAGTTTGGGGTCCATAGGGTAAGGCTTCCAGGTAAATAGACCTTCTATAAGGCTCCTATAACGGTAGCTACCTACCTGAAAATGTCCTAGACGATGTGGAGGTTTCCTATGGGTCTTTCGTCGGGTTCTTTATATGAGTTTAGGGTTTAGGGATGAGGGTTTGGGGTTTAGAGTCCCACTATTCTGGTGTGGGCTTTATCTGGGAGTGTCCGCAAACAAAAGGTACCTTGTTTTGGGTTCCTTATAATAAGGATCCTACTATTGAGGGTACTATCTTAGGGTCCCTATTTTCGGAATCACCCATATCCCAAACTCAACAACCGCAAACCTCCAAGCCTTAACCCTTTGACCCAACATTCCAAAAAATCCTGGCAGGAAAACTACCCTTCAACCCTTGAGCCCTAACCCCCCAAAAACCCTAAACCCTTCAACTCTAAACCCCAAAACCCTAAACTCCCTAGACAGCTAAAACCCCTAAACCTTAAGCCCCTGGAACCCATAAACCCCTGAAGCCCGAAACCCTTAAGCCTTAAACCCCAAATCCCCCAAACCCCGCAAACCCCGTAAGCTCCTAAACCCTCAACTATGTTCCCAATACCCTTATAAATCACCTTAAAGGAGCCCTTAGAGAAACCCTTAAAGGAACCCTGAAAGGAGCCCTTAAAAGGAACCCTGAACCCTAAACCCTAAACCCTTAACGGAACCCTAAACCTTAAAGGAACCCTAAACCCTTAAATGCTCGTTCCGAGCAGGGCGCCGCCGGTGGAGCCGTTGGACAAAGCCATGGAGGCCTGAGACTGGGCAGATTTCAGACCTCGGCGACTCGGGAGTTTTTGTTTTACTTGGGGTTCCCTTAAGGCTTCCTTTAAAGGGATCTATAGTATGGGTATAGGATTTCAGACCTCGGCGACTCGGGTGTTCTAAAATTTCGGGTTTGGGGTTGTAGGGTTTTTTAGGGGTTTGGGGTTTGGGGTTTAGGGTTTACGGTTTAGGGTTTAGGGCTTTAGGGGTTTAGGGTTTTAGGGTTTTAAGGGGTTTAGGGTTTTGGTTTAAGGTTTAGGGTTTAGGGTTTTGGTTCGGAGTTTAGGGTTTAGGGTTTTGGTTTAGGGCTTAGGGTTGTTTAGGGCTTGAAGGGTTCCTTTAAGGGATCTATTATATAACGGTTCCCTTAAGGCTTCCTTTAAGGGGTCTACAATAAGGGGTATAGGATTTCAGACCTCGTTGACTCCATAGGGTCAGGCTTCTTTAAGGGTTCCTCTAAGGGCTCCTTTAAGGGTTCTACAAAAGGATCTACAAGGGTGTTGGGTTTAGGGCTTTAGGGTTTAGGGCTTAGGGTTTTTAGGGGTCTAGGGTCTAGGGGTTTAGAGGTTTAGGGTGAAGGCTACTCGAGATTAAAAACACCAAGCACCAAAGCAAGAACACATTTTCTTGCTTGGAGACTCGGTGGTAGACTCTGTCTCGAAACCGCTTTCCTTGGGAGATGCTTAGAGGCCCAGGGGACTTAGAAAGTAGGTTGTGAGTAGAGTTGTAAGAACCCTACACGGAGTTCGCCTTCTTACTAAGTCCCCTAAGTAGCCTTCCTTACATGCTAAATCCAAACCCCGACCCCCGAAAGGATCTAAAAAGTAGATCCCTTAATTTGGGACCCTCTACTACCAAGGGTTACTAAGGGTACTTTAAGGGAACCCCCTTAAGGGATCCTCCCCCCAGGGCGGCGGGAAGTGAGACCTTGGACACTTCTCCCGACACCGACTGAGGATCAGACCATATTTGTTGAGTATCCTCGGGGAACTAAAGGTAACCTTTATATAGGGATATATAGGGATACTGCCCTCAAAAGGTTCAAGGTTACCTACTGTACTACAAACATCGGACAACTTTGGAAACGTTCGTGCTGAGACTTTGCCTGGACACGGATGTGCCAGTGATTTCGTACAAATCCTATGATTGCGTCTTTTGCTTATCGGACGACTTTCTGGGATGATGCCTGCTTTTGTTCTGAAAGAATGCGCACCACATCGCCGTGGCCCTTGGCACTTGCCAACATCAGAGCTGTTCTGCCTTGTAGGTCCGTAAGCTCCGAGTCGGCTGCTGCTTCCAACAGCAAGCGCACAGCCTCTGCCTTAAGGAGATGAACCCTTAACACAGCCTTACAGTATAGGGTTTAGGGTTCCTTTGAGCAGATGAACCCTTAAAAAAGCCTTACAGTGCAGGGTTTAGGGTTCCTTTACTATACCAGGGTTCATAATAGAAGTGTAAGTTCAAAGGCCCCTAGGCCCCTACTTATATGGGTCAGTTGTTCCCCAAGCTGCACGGCCATTTGCAGCTGCCCGCATCAACGCCGTCCTGCCATGTTGGTCCTTGCAGTTTTGTGCTGCACCAACTTCCAACAGCAGGCGCAGAATCTCCACATGCCCGTTTGCAGCAGCCCATATAAGAGACGAGTTCAGTTGATGGTCCATCGCATTCTTGGCTGCACCAGCCTCCAACAACAACTCTGCAGCCTTAACATGGCCAGTGGAAGATGCCCAACTCAGAGCAGTCCTGCCATAGGATGTTTAAGGTCTAGGGTGTCAGGCTTTTTATAGAGCTTTTAGGGTTGTATAATAGGGTGTTTCGAGCTTCACTTTGGGGCGTGTATAATAAAATCCATAGTTTAAAACCGGAAGGAAGACTTACTGACCCTTATAGTAACCCTCATAGCAACCCTGTAAAGGAACCCTACTCCAACTATCATGGCCCCCTTTATTAGAGCAGTCCTGCCATCTTTGTCGGTCATGCCGATGTTTGCGCCAGCCCCCATGAGTAGGCGGACAGCTTCGATGTGGCCGTTTGCAGTTGCAAGAATCAGGGCTGTGTTGCCTTTCTTGGGGCATTAGGGTTTAGGGTTTAGGTGACGGTATAGGGCTTTAGGGTTTTAGGGCTTCTAGGGGTTAGGGATTTCGGGGATGAGGGATCAGGCTTTACTCGGGAATAAAACTGAGAGGTTAGGGTTTAGTGTTTAGGGTCGGGGCTGTGTTGCCTTGCCGGTCGGTGAAGTCAACTGCGGCTCCAGCGTCCAGCAGCAGCCGAGCAATCTCAACATGTCCTCAGTTGTCCATCGGAATAAGGGGTTTTGCAGGTTTTTCAGGGCTTATACGTAATACCCCGAAAAGGTTAAACCATAAACCCAAACCCCTAAATCCTAAACCCTAGACCCTAAACCCTAACCTCCTTTACTAGTAAGTGTCCGTATGCGGACGCACAGGTCAGAGGTGTCATGCCCCAACGGTCGGTTGAGTCCTTCTGAATGCCGGTCGATGGTCATTTTATACAGGGATCCCTTAAGGATTACTGTAAGGGTTCTAAAAGGGATCTATAATAGGGTTAGGGCTTAGGGTTTAGGATTATTATAAGGGATCGGTAACGGGTTACTGTCTGGGGCTTTGGGGTTCAGGGTGGCTTTGGGGGTTTAGGGCTTGGGGTTCAATTGCGTCCTTCTCCGCGCCAGCATCCACCAGCATGCGCGCAGCTCCGACCTCGCCATTCCTTGGTCCGAGAAAGCATCTGAGAAGCAAACTTACCCTAAGGGTCCAAGTACCTAATATTCAAATACTCTTCTGAATACTGACCTACAAAACGACTAAATATCCGTAACCCAAGTACATGATTATTCGGTCCTTTGGACCCTTAGGATTACTGTGGCTCAAGAGACGCAAACTATCGATAAAGACAAGGTTTGGGGTTTAGGGTGTAGAAAGGTTTTGATATTCATATAACCAGCATCATGGCAATAGCGCGGAAAACTGGCAACTTTGTCATAGCAAATGGTCACAGCAGAAAAGCAGAGTAATGAAATCACAGACATCAAGACGGTAAAGCACGCTGAAACCTCCTCATTGCGATTGTTGTTACCGCTGTTCTGACTATGCGTATGTTGCAGTACCGTTCTTCGGAATAAACAACCATCATGATTGTTACCAGCATCACTACCGCAGCAAAAGCAAACCTAGTAAACAGCGGAAATAATTGTAATACGAGCAACACTGTTCTGATGAACTAGCAGGAGCCTAACTATGAAAATTGTGATAATGATGATGATAATGATTGTTATTGCCAGCGGCAGCACTAGCAGCAATAATGAAAGGGATCCATAAACAAAAAAACTAAAGAGTGACCCAGAGTCCTGGCGGCATCGAGCAGCTCACGCCCAGCTTGCACAGCGTTGGCTTGTGACAGCAAGACCAACTGTATGTCCATCGGCACTCCCAGCCTAGCGTAAGGGTCTGTTGTTTTTTTTAAGCTCTGGGTTTAGGGTTTAGGGTTCAGGGTTTAGGGTTTGGGGTTTCGGGCTTAGGCTTCACCGGTACTCGGGATACCACGTGGACCTTAAACAACCTGGAATTTGAGGGCTCCTCATTTTGATGCCTTGATGTAGGTCCTTTGCAAAATGGACTTCGGTGAGGTTTGGGTACGGATTAAGCTTTGGGGTGTAGAGGGTTTCGGGAAACCACAGGAACCCAGGGTGCTACTACTGAGAACCTAAACCTTAAACCCCAAACCGGAGAACTATGCTGGGATTATAATAGCCCAAAGAAATGTTTTGAAGTACCCTTAAGAGGAACCTAGAACTATACTGGGAGTATAGTAACCAAAGATTAAGACTTAATTTAAAGTACGCCTATGAGGAATCTAGGTGCTACTATTGAGAGGCCTTAATAATTCGAATAGGGTTCTGGAGGTTGCTTATTCGACCCCAAAAAACCCTTTTCTAATTATTAAGGCCCCTAAACCCTAAACCCTTATAGAACCCCTTTAAAGGAATCCTTATAGACCCCTTTAAAGGAGTCCTGATACTAAACCCTAAACCCTAAACCCTAAACCCTAAACCCTATGTTACTACTGGGAGCCCAGTGGGCTGTTGCA